TAGCTATGTGACTTTGAACAATACTGGATGACATAAATATCAAAATGGTTTACAAATTATGTAAGTACACCTTGTAGTAGTTCCATGTTTACAGTTGTGATATCGTGAGATGTTATATTGTGACTTTATTTTAGACCTGTTTAAGCGGTAATTAATTCTTTATGTTATTGTTATTAAGTGGGTAATGAGTCACAAAACAAATAATCAAAACATTTCAGAGGTGTGGTGCCAAAAGTGTCTTTGCCCCCGGGTGCTGAGAACCCTTGCTACGCCACTGAATATACATGATGTACATTTTTTGGGGGGGTGGTTAATGAAAGTGTTCCAAAACATGACACTAATTTCTTGACGACCTAATACATTCAGGTTTAGAGAGAGAGAAAAAAGGTATTTAAAAGGAATTTTCATGTATGGCAGGAAGTAATTAGAAAACTAAAAGTAAAAAAAAATTAAACTATAAAATGAGAAAGGACACAAACACATGTAACAAGCATAAAGTTATTGTTCGTGAAATTCTTACCAATTTTAAGAATGTTAATTCTTTATTCAGTGCTGTCCACATTTTTCAACCTGAAATACCGACACCAAATATTTTTATTACTCATCAGCTTTGGTCAATATCATCTTATATAACAACATATGATCACATTCCTCTGAATAATGAATATCACCAACACCTAAAAAACTTTCACAACAGTAAATTCAAATTACAATTAACTCATGAGAAGTTCTAGTTAGCACTTGTAGTGAGAAAATCCCTCCCCTAAATTCAATCTTTCCCATACTCCTAGATCTTTTTTGCAAATTTGAGGGGTTTATTTCTAGATGATAATTTGTGTGTATGTGTGAAAAACCTAGGTAGGGCAACTTACTTGTTAAAAAATAAATTTTGGGAAATAAATCAGACCATATTTATAGACATACTGTGACTTTGGCACTCAAAAAGTTCTGCACCACATCAATCACTAAATAAAATTTGAATTGTTAAAGTTGTATGACAGTCTTTATGATTTGTTATATACCAATTAGCTGTAGCTGCTTTAAAGATTCTTAAAATGACACCATCCCAGCAAAAAAGCTCATAAATGGAATTGCTTATTAATTTGAGTTCATCTAATTTCTTTTAAATCTGTTGGTGTTATATATTTGAAAGATGTTAAATATTCAATACTTCAAAAACGATAACTCTATTAAGCAAATATCCCTCTGTGACTTGTATTAAACATTTTGTTTTCTTTATATGTATACTATATGTATGGTGTTTTGATTGTCTTTTATCCACCACTGAATTAACAAATCAATTTTAACAATTAGCCTTTTGTATATAACCTTACAAAGACCTTACAAAAGTACTTGTCTTAAACGACTTTTAGTAAGCCAGTGATGCAATAACTAAATTCCTAAAAGCTATAACAACTGCTACTTCCTAAATTCTAATAATCAAAAAGGATGTTTTATCAAACAACACCTGAGAACTAATTCCATTTTTTTCCAACAACTGATCAAAAGATGGGTAAGCCTGTTATATCCTCTTGGTTTGCCAGATATTGTGGTGTCATTGGATTAATTAGAACTTTTGTTGGATTGGATGCAAAAGGCTGCACTGATTTGGGTTTTGAAGCTTTAGTTGGTTGTACTAGTTGGTGGAGGAATGAATAACAACATGATAAATTAACTTCTGTATTCTTGCTTATTCACTCTTAAAATTTCCAAAATTCAAAATAAATCTGGATAATCTTGGATATATAATGAGTTTGAAAGCTTGTACAGTTCTTACAACACATGATGCCTTATATGTTACACGTGTTGTTGCCTATGAAATACCATTATAGGGGTCTGATGCATCTTCAGTAATGTTACCTTATCTATAAGGCATGGGTGGTAAAAGCAAATAATTCTGATGACACACAATCATACTTAAAACGTACTGACATTTTACTTGAGGGTAAAACTTTAAACTCATCCTTTATTACAACAGACTGTTTGGTACTTCAAAATGTGCCTTTCACACCCACTTTAAGTATTTATGGAATCCTTCATTCATTTATCAAGATATCTCAATAAAATGGGTAATTTCACAGAAAAAAAAGATGTTGAAATTTCAATATAAAATTAGATTAAACATTTTTAAAAGAAGCACTTGGTCTTCTACTAACCAGGTTACAACAGCTAGTTCGGGAATTACATCAAATTGCTAGTAGTCTTGGGCAGTGTTGTTTAAGCTATGACATTTGGAAAGCTTTAAATATTAATATGTTACTACCATAAATAATAGTATAGCTTTAATAAAATATTATTCAAAAATAGCAAGCATTTTGGAGTAGCTTTAACATAGCATACATGTATAATTTAAGGGCAACAAGTGACCTATTGGTCCATCTATGCTGTTCGATCCACTGACCTAAACTTTAAAATAAAAATAAAACTAAAAGTCAAAACCAACCCTCATCAATCAAATATTTATCAAGCCTCCTCTTACACTCCCTTAATTTAGTTGCATTGACATCTGAAGGCAACCCATTCCAAAGACCAACTATCCTGTTAGAACAATAAAGATGTCTTAGCTGAGGATGACTCCTACCCTGATAAATTTATATTTATGTTTCCTAGTTCGACCATTCCCAGCATTCAGTACATAAAAATATGATGCAGTGACATTATAAATTTTCTTAACAAACTTATACACATTAATAAGACTCCCTCTAACTCTTCTTTCTCAAGAGAAAACATTTTCAGATTTTAATCTGTCTTCATATGACAACCTTTACACCCCAGGTATCATCCTAGTAACCCTCCTCTGAACCCTTTCCAACAACTCAATGTCCTTTCTAACATAAATAGCCCAAGACTGAACACAATAATCCAAATGTAGCCAAATTATATTCAATATTTCTGCAGATACAACCTAAAATACAGAGAAAAGGGGAACATTTGGTCTTTCTTGGCTATCCCTAAATATCTATTACTAAGAAATACTTTAACCTTGCACTAGTCTTCCGGGGGTCTTCATGGACCCCAAATATTTTTTAGATGTCGGAGCTGACAGATGGAAGCACGTATGTTTGTTGTTCTCAATACCTTCAGTAATCGGCTAGTTTCTGTTAAATTGTTACACTTAGTTTAAGTGGTAAAAAAGAAACAAGTTGTAACATTCAATGTTTATTTATTGATTAATAAAGGAAAAAATTTTTAGTGTTAGTGTTTTTTGTTTCCAAAGTAATAGTTTATTATTATTATCTAAATTAATTTTTTTATGACCGGGTCTACGCGGACCCTGGAAGAGTGAATATGGAAAATTTTCACAGAAGACAAATGCAGGGTTAACATTCACATCCACACTTTATTTTTCAAAAAATAATTTAATCCCCTCATAAACACACTGACCTCCACTACTGCTAATGGCAACTCATTTCACAAACTTATCACCCTGTTAGAAAAACAAGTCTCTAAACTTAAGCCTAGCTTATCTTTTCCAAATCTTAAACTTGTGTCCTATCATCCTGTTTTCTTCAAAATACATCACAAAGAGAGTAGAGGTCTTTATTCTATTGATCCCAATGGATGATCTGTTAAATTTCATCCAATTTTTAGAAGATGAAGTAAATGATCTTAATCTATCTCTATACAATTATTCTTCCATCTCCAGAACCATCCTAGTAGCTCTCTTCTGAAGCTTCTCAAATAAGTCAATCTCCTTTCTTTGACAATGAAACCAAAACTGCACAAAATATTCCAAGCTAGCTAGTTACCATGTAAAAACAAAAAAAAGTTAACCACTGCTTTTGAATTGTCACCATTTATTTCCTAATGGATTTCAAAGAGTTATTTTCTGTCAGACAGTTCACTTTTCTTGAGGTAGCTTCGTAAATTAACATGATATTCCAAAATATAGTGTATATTCCTGAAGTTTGGCAAATGTATGTGCCCCTTCAACATCTCAATAAATGTGCACTTACAAACAAAAGTGGCAGTTATCAAAGATTTGTAAAGCACTTAAACCCTAGCTCTACTGGTGCTGGTAGATCTATTAAGTAAAGCAAATTCAACCAATACTTTACATTTTATTTTGCTTCTCAAATGTATTCACCTGGAAAAGCAAAGAAACAGCTTATTTTTGTACACAGAAAATATTATAAGTATTTGTGAATCTATATGTCTTCCCATGTTTAGACAATTTCAGTTCATTTTTAACAATAAACTTTGCTCCCCAGTGGTTCAGTGGTAAATCTGTCAGCTTATAATGCTAAAAACTAGGTTTTGATACTCATGGTAAGCACAATACAGCTAGCCCATTGTGTAGCTTTGTGCCTAACAAACAAACATTCTTTGGCACCTTAACCAATACATACCAAGCAGTTCATAGTTAAGATTTTTGTACTGCATGGGCAAGGATAAAAAAACAAAAAAAATACTCTCTAGGTACTCACCAGATTAAAGATATTTTACTGAAGACATTTTAGACAATAACTTGAATAAGCCCTTTAAATTCGTCTGAAACTGTAAAACAAAGTAAAAAAAAAAAAGGGTGTAATATAATACTGACACACATACAACTCGCACTTTCACCAATAAAAACATATGGTCACTGTAAAGCCTAAAGCCATACAGTCTAAAGCCTTAAGGCTGAAGTTAAAGGAGTGTAACATCAAATTCATGTCCATTCTATCTTACAAGTTACATTTATTATATTTACGCTGAAAACGAGACTGAAGCTTGAAAACCTTCAGATTAAAACAAGAGGTTAATATTTTTATTTGTCTTTGTGAATTTGTGGCACACTGAACAATAAATAAGTTAACATTATTATTATTATTTCTGATGATATTCAAGTTACAACTTAAACTACAACAGTACATGTACAATGCAAACAAGATTTCTCATTTTCCCCATTGTAATATAACACAATACTTCCTAGTAACCCCTTTTAAATCCATACTTTAAGTTATAAAACCAGTTTTTATTAATATTTATTCTGCATAAGTTCATGAAACTTCAAGTTCAATACCTACGACTCCACATTTATTACTTTTAACAGTAAATAATGATTAGTTGCGTTCGTAAGTAAATTCGTTAGTGTATAGCGCCCTCTGTAAACTTTAATTGTCTTTAATCAAGCCACCATTTATCAGAAATCCAACTACATGTATTGGATTTGTGGTCGAATTTTACTGTCTCTTATAACAAAGTGAACTCTGAAGAAATTGTTTCAGAAACAGAAGCAGACATTCGTAACTTAGATGACATCACTCAATCCAATATTAGATGGGAAACGTATGAAAAAAAATCAAACTATTAAACAATAGTCGTAAACCAAAAAATAACTGAATAAAACATGAATATGAGGCTCTAAAATCTATACACCAAAATAAAGATCTGGTCGTAACAAAAGAAGACAAAAGTGGTAAAATTATAATTCTTGACAAAAAAAAAACAATATAATGAGGCGTAGCTAAGGGACGCTCGCCCTCTGAAAAACCTAGACCTCTCTAGAAATTAATGTATTATTACAAAATATGTCGAAAAAATTCAACAAGATTCTCGAGACTAGGTTTAATACAGTATGTGCTCAATTATTCCTTGATAAAGAAAATAGTTTAATTAATATTATATCGATAAAGTGATATTGAAAAGAGAAGTTACCAACCATGTGTTGATAATTTCTATTTTTTGCATATGTTTTGCACGTGTTACGAAAATATATTGTTACGACAGCGGAAGTCACGTGACTCTGATAACACGTCATGAGATTTTCGAAGGATCATGAATTGTCATGGCAACTCTAGTCTGTCCCAGAATGGCATAGATAGAAAGATTGAAGCTAAAGATAATCGAGTCAAGCGTAAGTAAAGTGTGTGAATCCATGAGAATTATGGCGTGTTTTTATAAAAGTAGATAAGTTAAACTGACTATGGAAATTCTGTGTATTGCAAAGTTGTAACGAAAAAGAATAAACTAGTTTTAATTAAGAAAGGACTTGTATCGCTGAAGTTTCTCGGAAAAAAATTCTACGGGAAATTAACAAACAAGCAGATATGCAACAAATTGGTGTCAGAGAGTAGGACGAAAAAGAAAAAAAAGAAGAAGAAGAAGATGGAAACCAGAGGTGGCAAATCAATCTACAGCTTAGCAGATTTGATGACAGCAACACAAGAACAGCAAAAGAAACAAGAAGAACAAGAAAAGAAACAAGAAGAGAGACAACAGCAGTTGCAAGAAAACCTGCAACAGTGGTAGCTCGAACAGCAAAATCAACAAGAAGAGAGATTACAGCAGTTGTTGGAGGAAAAGAAAAGAAACAAGAAGAACGAGAAAAGAAACAAGTTGAGAGATTACAGCAGTTGTTGGAGGAAAAAGAAAGGACATACACTCCCAGAACATTTAACTGACCTCTATAAGAAGAGCATAGTCCATTTGTCAT